CAACACACACACACTAAACAGCACACACTGAGCAAGATGCACTCCCAGGTATGTGGAGGGGAAACAAACAAAACTCAAAGATGGGAAAAAACATAACCTCTGACCTCAAGGGACATATGTGGGAACTAAAAAGGAGAAGTGCTGAGGCTCACGGATGCTTTCATTCCAGTAGGTAATGTTGATATGTGAAGCCAGAAGTCCCCCCTGCCCCCCTGCCCCCAGTATCTTATTAAAGCCAGGCCTTGTTGCCAGTTATGCCTCATAGTTCCCTCCTCTGGGAGTTTGAACATAATGCCATTTCCCCTTCAATGAGGGGAACATGGTTGAGGGTAATTTGAGTGATTAGCCTAATCTGCAGGAAGGCTGCACGTGGAATTAAGTTAAGCACATTTGTACCGAGCAGCCGTGTCTGTCAGGCTGCTGTAAGGTACCTTGGTGGTTTTATACCCTTAACAGAAGCTGAGGGTTCATGGAAGGATCATTGGCTTTTATTACTCTGTTAAATGAAAGCTTATTTTTAAAATTTGACAATGGCCTCTGAGAGCTTTTGCTGTAGACACCATGTGTGGGGTGTGTTTTTACCCCAATCCAAAACATTGCCAGAGCTGTGTTCTCATGGAGGTGGCAGAATGTGGTGACGCAGGGAAGTTGTCCAGGTGGAAATTTGTCGGGCTGGCCAGTCTTTGTGTCTGTGAGGGGAGCCGAGAGAGTCCTGGGAATTCCGGCCTCATGTGTACTTGAGTCGAAAGAGGAAGTCCAGGTGCTTCTGTGCCGGGGGATGGGGCAGTTCCCAGCCCTTTTCCCCGGCTCCAGTTTGTGCAGTGAGTTGGACTAGAGGAAGGTATTGTTGAGTCTGACGTGGGGACACCCTCATTGACCACATGGAGGGTCAGTGACAGAGCCGACCATCAGATGCTAATGTCATCTCTGACCCATGCTCCCTCCCTGACCTCGTTTGGCAAGTGGATTCCCACCTGTGTCAGAAGGAGATGAGAGAACTTGCTGCGTAGCTGGAGGAATTAGCAATAGGACCGAAATTGTTAGATAGGACCGGAGTGGTTAATGCAAATATAACAGAAATATTAACTTCTAAAGCAAGTCAGTATTTCGGGCTATAAATAAGTATTTACTGTTCTGCGTCTACTTTCTTTTTTTTTTTTTTTTTTTTTTTTTTTGCTTTGAAACGGAGTCAGGAACAAATCTGCGAGCTGCTGTCGTAGTAGAAGGACCCAAAGTGCAGCAGATATGAAAGCCAGTTTATTTCAGTAATCAATATTTTTTATTCTTTTTCTTGTTAGATTTGTCTTCAGCAAAGAGGAAATTTGCAGATTCCTTAAATGAATTTAAATTCCAGTGCATAGGAGATGCTGAAACAGATGATGAAATGTGTATAGGTAAGTCATAACTGTGCTGTTTATCACAACTTCCATTGTCCTCGCGGGGTCATGGATGGGAAGAATTGAAGCATCATAAATTAAGAAGTCCATAGTGACAGTGGTAGCAGAGTTAAGGGAGGGTCAGGGACCCGGGGCTGTATCAAGTTTCTTAGAGCTCTGGGGTTGCCTCACTTTCCTGCCTGCAGGAGAAAGCTCGAAGGTTTGCAGTGGGGTGCTCCTCTCCACTTAACTTTAGTATTCTGCTCCTGGCTGTTGTGCTAGCCTTCCCCCAGCCACAGTACTAAGAGCTTAGAGCAAAAACAGAACACAGGTCGATGAGGGAAGAATTAAATAAGAGATGGCAAATGCTTGCTCAGGGACCGAGATCAGAATGCAGCCATGTTTTCTCTGGCAGTCTTTTTTTTTTTTTTAATTGAATTACCATATAAACTGAATTTATCCCAATGTTCCAGTTTTCCAGCTTCTTTGAGAATTGGAGAATCTGATCAGCTGGCCCCACATCCTGGCCTGGCAACAGTTGGCTGGAGCTATGTAGCCGCTGCTGCCTTCCAATGGGAGAGGGCCTCAGTGTCTAGCTCACACTGGTCCCCACTGCTCCCTTTTGTTTCCTTAAGAGGCCGAGGGTGAGGCTACCATTTATCACCTCTCTGTGCTGCTTCACTCTTCACCATCACCTTCTTTTGTAGGCAACGCTGAGCACAGAGGATTTGCAATGTCAAGGACACCTTTCTTTGCCAGGGTCTAGTCATTACACTTCATTCTTCTTACATTGGGCATCTTGGTTGACTCCACGAAGTGAGCAAGAATTGAGAAAGTTATACTGAATTAATTAAAGTTATATTGAATGAGACCCTGTTGCCATGCAAAGCGCCAAGGTCTGGGGATGAGCAAAGGCAGTTGGGAGACAGCTGAGAGCAGTGGTGAAACATGTCATTGGTGTAAATCCTGAATATATGGATGCTTTTCTGAACATTACACAAATGTCCCAAATATCCTCAGGGCTATTGTACTTACTGCCTATTGCCTTTGGGAATAATTCTAGGAGACTATCCCCATCTGACCGCCATGCTGCGAGCTGTATTGCATTAATAAGTGGCTTGGGGACTCAGGAGGAACCCAAGAGAAGCCTGAGATGTGGCTTCCAGTGCCAGCAGCACTGTTTGTTTTGTTCTAGCGCCAAAGAAAAGGTTGGGTTCTGACGCAGCCCCACAACAAAGGTTGAGGAGGTTGAATCCTGGGCAGGAAATCTTTCAACTCTGAAGCGGAACTCTGCCCCTTCCAGCCCAGGGCCTGGGAGCCAGCCAGCATCTCATCAATTCTGGGTCCTCTCAGGAACAGGCCGGTCTTTTCCTTGAAGGAAATCCTTCCCTAGCTAGTGTGCCAGGTGGAATTAACAGACATTTCTGGGTCATACTTAATGGTTAATGATTAAAAGACAAGGGGAGCCTTAGGTAGCATTTGACGTTAGGCTTTTGCATGTGCCAGGGGATTATAACCCTTAGCATGATAGCTGTACCTGGAAGACTCGTTATTCAGCTTCCATCTCATGGCCCCTTTCTCTTCCAGCAAGGTCTTTGCAGGAGTTTGCCACTGTTCTCAGGAATCTTGAAGATGAGCGGATGCGGATGGTGAGTACAGCGGGGCTGCTCTTGGTCCCAGATGGTGTGGTCATGTCCAGGGAGCACGGGATTTGTTGTGAAAGAGCTGGGTTCGCGTCCAGGCTCTACCACTTGCGTGCATTTGGGTTCTTGAGCAAGCCTCCTCCTCTTTGCAGAGTTTGAAGCCTTTTGTAAGTGAGAAAGGGTATGTGTACTTGGGTAACTTGAGAATGACTTCATTGTCCTCCTAAAGGTTCACTGTAAGGTATATACATAAGTCATATGACTTCTGGGTGGATCTTTAGATTATTTACTCTTTGGGGCCTTAGATTCTCTACTGGCAGGATGGGAACAAAGGTGCCCCACTCTGCAAGCCCCGCCCCCCACCTTGTGGAACTCATCTGAGTTCCTTTGGACAGCAGGGTCACTCCTTCACTTTTAATTCCAAAGCACCTAACACAGTGCCTACTGCTTAATAGGCACTCAATAAATGGGTACTTACTAAGCAGTGGTAGCTCTAAGAAGTTCTTCAAAGAGAGGCACTGTGCAAATTCAAGAATCAAATGCCGATCTCCAGGTTCTTAGGAGATGTCTTTTGTATTAGAATGTATTCTAATTGGTTCAGCATTAACAGCTGAAGGATTCTACATCCACAGGTTCTTTTGCATCTTCCCCTGTATCCCTAAGCCATCAGGACCGAGGCCTGAGTTGAACCCCCTTGCAGGCTGCATGCTGATTTGTCCGCGGAGGGGCTTCTCTCTAGGAAGTAGTGCTCCAAGGCCTGGGGAAGAGTCCATTAATGAACATTTTTCTTCTCTTTCCATACTTACAACTGATGGTTTGAGACTAAGGTTCTCATCTTAGTTAGCTAGGGCTGCCAAAATACCACAGAATGGGAGGTTTAAACAACAAACATTTATTTCTCACAGCTCTGGAGGCTGGGGAGTGAGTCCAAGGTCAAGGGACTGACTGGTGCGGTTCCTGGTGAGGGCCCTCTTCCTGGCGTGCAGATGGCCTCCTCCTCACTGCTTCCTCACATGGCAGAGAAAGGGTGGGGAAGCATGCCTGTTTCTTATAAGGGCACTAACCCCATCATGAGGACAGCACCCTTATGACCGAATTACCTTCCCAAAGGCCCTATCTCCAAATACTATCACATTAGGGTATTACAAGACAAACTGAGGCATATTCAATTTCTAAGAGTTTATTTGAGCAAAAATCATTTTGAATTGCACAGCACCAACCTGGGAGTGGTGAGGAGTGCTCTACCAACAGGAGCTAGGGGAAAGACTTTTATACAGAAGTTGTGGAAACAAAGCAAGGAAATTATATAGTTGGCTGTCTCTTAAGCGAGTGCCTTATTTGGGAAAGCCTGGTTGTTTGTGATTGGTTTTCCTTAAGCTTTGATTTCTTAAACTGGAGGCATTCACAGGCTTCGATTTTGGTTTGCTTATGTAGGCTATTAGGGCAGTAGAGCCACCTGTCTAATGGCCTCCTTGTTTAATTAATTTAACGGGTTAGGGCTTCAAGATATGAATTGGGGCGGGGGAAGGGGCGACAATTAAGTCCACAGCATGTACCAAGGCATTACGTAGCTACACATTTCTATTTTAACCCTCATGATGATTCTGTGAAGTGTTACCTGTATCATCCCATTGTCTAGATCAGGGGTTGGCAAACTGTGGCTGTTTGGGTACGTTCCATCTCAAAAGTTGGCCGACCCCTGGAAGAGCTAATCCTGTCCCTCACAACAATTTAAAAATTATTCGAGAGTCATAAATATATTTTTACAAATAAGGAAAATTTAAAGTAATATTATAAATGAAGCTATGATAGTTTTATTTTCATTTTCAATTTTACTTCAGAGCCACCTGTATGTACCCAAAGAGCCGCATGTGGCTCGTGAGCTTAAGTTTGCTGACCCCTGGTTTAGAGGTTAAGTAACATGCCCACGATTACACAGTTAATAAGTGGAATGGTCTGGATTCAAACCCAAGTGTGTGTTATACCAAAGAATGTGGGAATTTCTCTAAAACTCCAAACAGAGCAGAAGCCTCTCACCTTCTGCCCTGCATAGAGAGACACTGTTTTCCTTGGTTGCTGGTTGCTGGGTTCCTGAACCAGAATCGGAAGGTGGCGGCAGCAGCAACAGCAGGGATGCTGGTGGTTACAGGGAGGGGAAGGCTTGTGTGTTTCTGCACGTGCTGATGCCTCAGAAAGGGAAGTGATCTCTTGAGTCTGATTCTTGGCCGAGTTAGTATTTGGGGGTGGGGGTGGGAGGTGTGGTGAGCGAATCACGATGAATACCCTGCAGATTGCTATGACCCAGGGTCAGGGAACAATGACCGGATTATCCTTTTCAGCTTGCTTCTGCAATTTTATTATTAATGTCAGTGAATTTAGTTTCTCCTGTCTGCATCTGAGTGTCTGGCCATCGCAAGGCCCTTCCCCACCTCCTCGCCCTGTGACACCTTCAACATCAATTCAGCTCAGCTTATAGCCAAGCTGCACCTTCTTTAGGAAGCCTTCCCTGATGCCCTGGGATATGTGCCCGTCCTTTGTATTAATATCCAGTTCATGCCTCTGATTCTGCACTCACCACATTGTGTCCTGATAATCACTGCACGCGTCCCATAGTAAATATGCGTTCTTGAAGGGCAGGGAATGGGCTAATGTGCCCCCCAGTATCAGCACAGTGCTTGGAACTGAGTGGCAATTTCATAGTCATAGAATCTTACACCCAGACGGACTTTATCCCTCACCTCTTAGTCCCTCCTTGACAGATAAGAAAGCTGAAGGTTGACAGCAAGCAGTTAGAAGGCCTGGGACAAGGACTTGGGCATACTGTTGCCCAGGCGAGCAGTTAGTGCTTTTATTTATTTAGTATCTACCCAGGGCTGGGTTCTCAATCATGGATGCCCATTGGAACAATGCAAGTTTAAAAAAATACTGATGCCTGGGACGAAGTACAGAGGTTCTGATTTAATTGGTTTGGAGTGTGGCCTGGACATAGGGACTTTTAAAAGCTTCCCAGGTGAGCCTAACATGAGGCGAAAGCTGAGAACCCTGACTTAGGGGGCTCAGCACACCACTGTGAGCTTCAGAGACTTGCACTTGATTTACAGGAGACTTAAACAAGTAAGCCATTCAAGCCACATCAAATAACAATCAAAATCAAGCAAGTTAAACAACATTGCAACACTTGAGTTGTGGCTCGCTCTCAAAACTGACAAAAAGGCAAATGGCGATACATTTGGAGATCTGCCACCTTCTGTCCCTCACTTTGTCCAGTTAGCTCTTTGCTATATCCATGTGTGGCTTCTGGCATTTACTCTGTTGGTTTCATTGCGATGGATATGCATGTGGTTTAGGAAAATAATGCTTTGTTGCCATGAGATTCCTGAAATAATTAGTTGAGCAATGAGTGAGCAGTGAATGACTTAAGAGGAAAGATTGTAAAATATTGTACTGCTTAGAAAAGACTGTGGAATCTTAGAACTGGAACAATCCAGCCCACTCATTTTGTAGACGAGGAGATTGGAGCCCTGAGAGGTTAAATGTTTTGCCCATGGTCACACTGTTGGCAGCCAATCAAGAAATCAATCCTTCATTCATTTAGTCCTTGAAAAATATTTGAGCGCTCCTTTGTTTCAGCACTGTTCTGTGTTTGGGGGCTAGTGGTGGACAAGTGAGCCTTTACAAGGTAATGGTGTAGACATGTGCGTAGTGGCAGACCAGCTGCTTTATTTCTGAAGAAAACAGCTGGTGGGCGGCTGGGAAGTTTCTTTGGATTAAATTGGTGGTCACAGAAAGCCTCCCTAAAGAGGTGACCTTTAAGCTGAAACCTGAATTGCAGTAAGTAATGAGTCGTCCCCATGAGGATTTGGGGACAGAGCAGCTGAGGGAACAGCCCCATGCAAAGGCCTGGAAGTGGGACAGGTTTGGTACATGTGAGGTGCATTCTGGTGACTTCGTAGTTGGAGTGCAGGACCTGAGAGGGTGAGGCTGTGAGATGCAGTTGAGAGGCAGGCAGTGGTCCATACACACAAGTGTCCTGATCCCAGTCCAGTACTGGCTGGTCTACTTAAAATCTGACTGGAAGGTTTTCATGCCACCAGATGTGCAAAGATGCTTTCTGTTTGTTTGTCATCTAGACCCAGTGTTGATCTACTTTAAATATATCTACTTAAATATAGTGTAGGTGAATATGCGTTTACAAAGATGTCACCCAAAGCTTGAAATTTGGAACCTACCCCGTCACCAGTTTCCCTCTGCCTTCAAGATGGTTGCTTACATTTTTAGAGGTCCTAATTTTTATTTTTAAAGACTCAATCTTAATCATGCACAGGAAGAGTATCGTGTTTTGAACTGATGACTAGTTGTTAATTTGACATGCTGCCAGTTCAAGTGTTTTGAACAATGGCCACATGCCCAATGCTGCTTACTCAAATTTTATACTGAGACACGGGGAGGCATTTTGTGCCAGCACTGCTATAATTCTTTACTAATACTGCATTTGTGTCCCCACCGCCCCACTCCCCTCTGTTTTTCCTCACCAGATTGAGAATGCTAGTGAGGTGCTCATCACACCCTTGGAGAAGTTTCGAAAGGAGCAGATTGGAGCTGCCAAGGTGAGAATTTTGCAACCCTCGTTCTTGGATTTTAGGGCGGGGAGTCTGGAAAACACACACACCTTCTTTGGAAAATCTTCAGAAAATTTAAGCCCACCATCTTCAGAAAAACTTGGATGGATAAGCCTGGAGCCTAGCTCATCTGTTCTTGACAAGTATCTCAAGTGAGACTGAGTGGTCAGCCCCACAGCAGTCATTCTAGTATTTTGATAGCTAATCGTTTCATGCTAGTTCATAAATGGTCCGGAGGTAGAAACCACACCTCCTCCTTTGCGTTAGCCAATAGGTACCTGTGTGCTTGGACAGCATGGGATTGTGTTTATTGCGAGGTCTAGGACCCAGAGCTTGGAACACAGGTTGCAAATTGAGCCCTGTGGGCCTGAGGACTCTATTCCTAGCCCATTTTTGCTGTGTGTGAAAATGAGTTCTCTCTTGCTAGATCTTTAAAATTTTCAAGAGAAACTGAAAAGTTAGTTTTATGTGAAATCGCCTGGTTTAAAAAAAAATGTTGGCAAGTAATTAAAAATATGTGTTACACATTGTGCAGGTCAAATAGTGGGACTGCTTCAGCCCAGAGGTCACCCACCATTTGTTATCACTGACCTGGAAGGACTGTAGCCCACACTTGGCTGGTTCTAATAATGTGTTACAGAAAGAGCACAAAGTGATTCTTGGTCATTTGTCTCCGGGGTTCCCCTGCCCTGTGATAAATCACTAGGAAGCCCTAGCCAGTTTGACCTTCAGTAGCGTGTTAGAGGCCACTTGCAGGGGAAGATGTTTTCATTGGAATCAATGAAAGCAAAAGGATTTTCAAGATTTCCTTCCTGTTTTTCTGAACTGTGAGTCCTTCAGCCGTAGTCCCTTGCGCCCCCTGCAGGGAGTTTGGGGCAGCGTCACCCTCCTGCCTGTATAGATGGTATGGATTTTACTCAGTTGTGAAATGGCCATGAGAGGTAGTTGTAGGTGGGAAAACGATAACTAAAATGTAAGAAGTGGGGTCATCACCCCCCCTCTCCCAAGTAAGCGCATCTGCTTTCTGAAAATGAAAGAGATGATGTTCAGTTCGGTCAGGATGGTTGGCTATACTTTGAAGGAGGGACCACGGCAAAGATTCTTCTTCCAGCTCTACAGGACTTTCCTACCAATTTTACAGTTTACATTTATGAAGAAATTGGAGCTCATTCATTTTGTGTCAGGGAATAAGGAATGCATCATCTAAAGAGTGCCTTGTTCCATTCAGATTTTGTGCAAGACTTTGAGCAAACACAGTGATGGGTGAGAAAATGTCGTGAGTGCCCCTCCCGAGTTCTCACCTACACAGGCCTCACGAGCAACTTCTCTTTAGTGGCCTTGGGGCCTGTGCCTCCTACTCCTGAAAACACACAGCCGTGGCCCTGCAGGTTCTGGAGAGCTTTGAGGCTGAGGTGGAGCGGACCTCTTTATTGAGTCATCTTTCCAGTTGTCACTTCCCCCTCTGAGCACGGACGCCTCTCATGCTGCCTTCTTCCCTCAGCACTGGTTTGGATGTTACCAGTTACCACAGAGGAGGGTCAGAAGGCTGAGTGGGGCTCCCGTTGGGTTAATACCAGCGATCGTAATGACAGGAGCAGGTGCTTTTCCAGGTTGGGTGGGGGAGGGGGCTATTATAGATGGTGAGAAATACGAGGATGAAAAATTTCAGGAAAATGGTTGCTCACCAAAACATGTTTCCTCTCACACATATGCTCTCATGATGTGATGACGTTGCGGGTGATTGTTTATTTCTCCCCCTTTGTCATTTCCCCCTCCCCCCCGGTATACCTGTTGCTCTCCATGAACCCCCAAACCAGTACATTTATATCATAGTATTATGTGCATTTATGAGAAAGCAAAGTGTGACAACAAACTTTCTACTGGGGAACCTAGGGAGCAGACTCAAGAATACTTAAGAGCAAGCAAGGGCTCTTCAGCAGCAAAGTTAAAGGTTCTGAACTCAGTGTGTGTGATGCTAAAATTACCCTTCCTCCTCCTCTCCCCTCTGGTGCTGCTGCCGTTGCTATAACAACCTGTTGCTACTTGCAGGAAGCAGAAGTTAGAGTGTGGGGTGTGAAGGTGGCCAGGGAGGCAGACTCCTTCCTCCCTGTGCTAATGTGGCCTCTCAGGAGCAGGGCAGCACCCTGGGTGGAGTTTGACATAACCGTGGCCCTATGTTTAGAGTTCTGAGTTTGGGGGAGTTTGCAGCCCAAGTTGGGCTCTACCAGTGAAAGTAGAATAGACATTGGCAAGCAGTGGATAAGAGTGGGTGCTAGAGCTAGACTGCTTGAGTCCACATCTCACTTCTGCCACTTGCACGTAAACTTGGGGAGATTACTGAACCTCTCGGTGCCTGTTTGCTGAGTCATTAAACGGGGATAATGTTAATACTTACCTTGTGGGGCGGTTATGAGGAAGAAATGAGTGGATCATACAAAGTGCTTAGAACTGTGCGGGTCACACAGTCATTTGATGTTAGCTGTTCTAGTGAATGCGCACAGTTCATTCATTACAGAAACATGGGGAGCCTGCTCTGTGCCCCATGCTCATGCGTGATGGAGAATTGTGCTGATGAGGTTGCTATGCTCGTCGTGTGGCTAGGGAGAAAGCCATTAGGCACAAAGTATAAGTAACCATGCCATCTCAAATTGTGGTGGTGTTATGAAGGGTGACATGAGACATGGGACGTGGAAAGCACGTGGTCTTAATAAGAAGGAGGTAGATTTAGATGGTGGACCCCATCACCGCCACCACCACCACCATCACCATCACCACCATCGGCATCATCATCATCATCATCATCATCATCATTCAGCGAGACTCACTGAGCCCCCACCATGTGCCAGTAGCTACTAAGAATTGTATGTGGTTTATCTCATTCAGTCCTAACCATCCTGTGAGGAGGTGGGTATTCTTATCCTTATTTTATCAGACAGTGTTTGGGCTGAAAGAGGAAACCTGAGCAATTATCTAGTTTATAGATGAGGGAACCGAATCCTAGATAGGGGCATGACTTGTTTAGAGTTAGTCCAAACAGCGCTGAGAATGACTTGCAGGATCCTAACTCTGTCCTTTATCCACTTAGCCACCCACGGTGGACTTCCTGGAAGGTGAACACCATCTTGTCCCTGAGTGACTTGAGTTACCACCCTCCCATCTTCAGAGCATTACGTAAATCTTAGTAGAGTTATTCCCGCAAGAAGTGTTATGGCTGCTTCTCAGGACAGAGCTGCCTCCCTTCCTGTTACTTTGGCTGTCCTCTTGAGCATGAATGTGGAGGCTTGAGTTGCTAGAAAGCCACAGAATGCCAGTGACTCATGTTCCCCAGCCTTTTCTCACCCCTGGCCATCTGGACTGTCCCGGCACAGGGTTCTTTCTGGGGTTCGTGACAGGGCTGGTGGAGTGGCTAAGTGAGCATGAATTGGGAGTTGGAGCCTCAGCTCTAGGCTGCTGGTGTCTATAAAGGAAAAGAGTTGCTTGAGTCACGTGTCTTGCCTGCGCCTCTCCAGTTTGAAGGCGTAATGCCTCCTCAGGCTTTTTCTTCATTTGCTTCTGCATGTTTAAATTGTTCTTGTATGTAAGTCGTCTTTTAAGCAAAACTCAGATTTCTAGAAATGGATATATGTCAGCTAAAATTGGGTAGATGGATGAGTATGCCCCCTTTGTAATGCTTAGAAATTTGCCTTAGATAAATGGTGTCTGACATTGCAGGAGCTTGTCAGGGTGTCAGGTGAACGGCTTCTTGGTGATTCCTGGGCCACTTTGACTCCGAGTGTTCTGTCCAGGGCATTTGCACTCACTGCTCTCCTGCTCTAGAAGCCTCCCTCTACACCTCACGTGATTAGCAGGCTTAGCTCACACCTCCCCTCCCCAGCGAGGCCTCTGCTGAGTATCCTATCTGCAGAATCTCTGTGACTGTGCCCTGTTTGTTTCCTTTGCAGCCCTTGTGGCTGTCTATAATTACGCTGTTTACTTGTTCAGTGGTTAATTGTGTTTCTTCAAGGAGCGTCCCCACCACAAGGGTCGGGACCACTGCTGTCTTGTGTTTCAGTGCCTCAAGGAGCCTAACAGAGTGGTTGCATGTCATGTGTTTGTTGAATTAATAGAGATGTCTCTGAGCTTCCTGAACTAGCTGCAAAAGTATTTCTTCTCCTTTTTGGAGTTGCAGAAAAATATCCCCTGTGGGCTCCACGTGAGTCAAAAGCAGGAATGATAAACTCAGTAAATTTGATCCCGTTGATCAGGCTAGTGCTGACCTTCCAGCTCCCTTGCCTACCATCCCCATTGGAATGTGGAAGGAAGAGGCGCCTGTGACAGTGTGTCTCAAGTGTGGTGGAGACGTGGGCTTTGGAGGCAGCTGGTCCTGGGCTTGAATCCCAGCTCTCTCATTCTCTGCGACTTTTTACAAGTTACTCTCCCTTAACTTTTCCTCATCTGTAAATGGGAGATAAAAATGGAACCTCAATGACTCAGTGACGTTGTGGGAGAGCAGGAATTATTCTGCATATTATGATATGCATATTATTTTTCATTTTGAAAGCAATTAATAAAGGATAATAAAAATCTCTCAAATGGAGGAAAAAAAATATCACCCATTATTCCATTTCCTTAACTCAGGTATTTTCATTGAAGTATTTTCTCATGTAATCCTTGTCTATAGGTAGACTCGCTGTGTAGGATGCATCAAGTTTGCAGCATGCCATTACTACTTTGCATTATATTGTGAGCATTTTACGTATGACTGCCTAGCCTTCCTAGTTACAGTTATTGGATGTCCCATACTTGCATTATCCCAAACCCAACCCTTGGGCAGCAGTGTTGCTGCTGGCTTTTGTTGTTGTTGTTATAAATGATGCTGCAGGAACACACTTGTGATGATAGTGTCTTCTTTGTTTTGAATTATTCCTCAGCTGAAAGACCCATATATGATACTGTTGGGTTGTCGGAAAAGTCATGACGTATTTTTCTATGTTTCTTGTTGCAAAAATGTGCTATGACTTTTCCGACAACCCAATATTACATCAAGGGATATTTAAGTCACTATATTAAGCACTTTTTGAACACTATTAAAGCTGGATCTCCCTTGGTCTAGAGACTTTTCCCATTTAAGCTATGTAGATCTTCCTATGGGCTTAGCGCTCTAGGTAAGTTCCCTCCTTCGTTTGGCTTTGAACATCCTTGTGTGTTAGAAACTAGACATTTCTGTTGAAGCTCTTAGAAGGTGGCGTTCTGACTTTGGCGCTATGAAATATTGGTATTGACCTCGTTTCAGGCGTTGCGGTGGTGCCTCCACAAGAGCCACCGGGCTATTGGTGGGTGGTTGCTGGGTGTAATGGGCATTATTTGAAGAGTAGGCACTGGGTGTTCTGCTGTTGTTCTGTGGTCTGAGGGAATGATGAAGCTGTGAAGATGAGCAGAAAGACCCTGACCCAGAGAGCCTTTATTTTTGCGACATTTCACTCTTTTTCTCTTTTCCTTTCTCCTCTTCATGCCAGGAAGCCAAAAAGAAGTATGACAAGGAGACAGAGAAGTACTGTGGCGTCTTAGAAAAACACTTGAACTTGTCTTCCAAAAAGAAAGAATCTCAGCTTCAGGAGGTAAGAAACTTTACTAGTATCGTGAATAAAGTGTTAATTTTTACGTGGTGCTGTGAATAGGATGTGTGCTGGTTGTCTTTGCCAGAAAATCCTAGGTTCAGAAGAGACCTCGGAAACCAGCAGTTTGATGTATTTTTGCCTGATGTGGGGACTGTCGTATACTCCCACCACCCACATCCTTTGTGTCTGTCCAGTGTGGCAAGGTCGGAGGCACACACTGGTCAAGGTCACCCGCCTCGCTGGGCAGTGCTCCTTACCGGGGCGTGCTTCTTCCTTTCAAATTGAGCTTTCTTTTTCTGTTTCCCTTACTTGATTCTGTACTCTATTACCTCACCTTTTGACTTTCTGCCGTAGGTCAGTGATTTGAAATGTTAGCATCTGAAACACTTCGGTCATTCTTCCTTAATGTTAATTTGAAAAAATTATTTCAACCCCGTACTTGACATTAGTTTTTGGTGTTTTTTTTTTTCCTTTTTCTTTTTAAGCAGTATTTTGTCACTCATATGGTTTGTGCTTCGGTAACCTTGTTCCAGAAAACTAAATTCTCTCATATCCACCTGAGAGAGCACAGTGTAGGGACCTAAACACTGGCTGGCAAAGAGATACCTCATTTCATGGCCTGCTCTGCCATGTAAATCACTGTGTGACCTGGGACAAGTCCTCATCTCTCTGAGCTCTTAGTCCCTTTGTGAAATACTCTTAGAAACAGCTGTCCTGCCTACTTCCTGTGTGAGAAGGCAGATGACAGCTGCTACATGGATAGAGAACGTTAGTTATCCCTGTGACTGGCCTGCTCTTCTCCATCCCGTTTCCAAATTGGAGGGTACTCTTTTTGACTGCCTTAGTCTGTGTGGGCTGCTGTAACAGAATACCTAGGCTGGGTGGCTTTAAAAACAATAAACGTACTCTCACAGTTCTGCAGGCTTAGAAGTCCAAGATTAAGATGCTGATAGATTTGGTGTCTGGTGAGGCCTATGCTCTAGTTCATAGATGACTGTCTTGCTGTGTGCACACATGGCGGAGGGGTGGGGGAGCTCTCCAGGTCTCTTTTACAAGGGCACTGATTCCATTCCTGAGGGCTCCATCCTCGTGACCTAAGCACCCCTAAAGGCCCCACCTCCATATCCTGTTACATTGGGGATTAGGTTTCAACATAGGAATTGAGGGGGCACAAACATTCAGTCTGTAGCATGGACTTTGCCAGTAAATGTCTTAGTGTACATTTTTTCATTATGCTCTTTTGTTACAGTCCTTTGTGTACTTGTCTTTTACTTATTCATACTTTCTAAGTACTTTAAGGGCAAAGAGTGAGCTCAAGGTCTTTCTTGCAAGTTCTGGTCTGTTCTCAAGCATTGCTTTTTGGTTGAACTTGAACCGAATTAAATTATATATAAAAATCTAATAACGACGACAATACTTTTACTAACAACAACAATAGAAGCCAATATTTATGGAATGCATATTTATGTACCAGGTACTGTGTTGAGCACTTTACATGGAATCTTCTCAAATCCTTACAGCCACCCTTTGAGGTACAGGTGCAGTCCCTCTACTTTACATATAAGGAAACTAAGGCTCAGAAATGTTTAATAGTCTGCCCATGGCTGGTCAGAGAGGATTTGAACCCTGGCTCCTGACTCTGCAGCCCTTTGCTTCAATCCAGTATGATGTTCTACTTCTCTCTCCATCCTGGGAGGGAGGGATGGTGCTCCCCTGCCTGCCTGCCATTGTTCTTCAACCTGAGTGTCATGCAAATAGAATTGACCTAGATGGCGGCCTTGGTGATCATTTGGTTGAACCTCCTGGAATTACCTTTGAAGGCACTGTGGTTCTGGTAGAGGTTAAGTGATTTGCTCAAGGTCTTCCAGCTCTTTAGTGATGATTTTCTTCACATTTATTTAAAAAAAATCAAATTTTAGAGACAATATTAAATACTTAGTACACATTTAATGAAATCCACGTCCTTTGATTATTCAGAATTGCTCCATGATTGCAGGGCTCTCAAATACTTTGAAATTCTAGCCCATCCCTAGATCCTGGTGGGTGAAATGATAGGGCAACCATGTGGGATGACACTGCCATCTAGTGGGTGAGTTTTTAAAGATCAGTGTATTCTTCAGTGGCTCAGAAGCTGGCTTCAGAGACAATATTCATTCGTTCAACAAATATCCACTGGACACTCCTGTGAAAGCCTGTTCAGGCACCGGGTGTACCGTGGGGACTGAAATGAATGATCTGCCCTCATGGAACTTACAGTCTAGGAGAATGCCTCTTTTCCTAGAAAGCACAGCATGGTTGGTGGGTCTCAGACAAGCTGGTAGATTAAGTTTCTCAAGGAACAGGCAGGGAACCTGTCTTGAGTGGTCTGCAGAGTAGGTTGGAGTCCTGGTTGACAATTCCATTGCCGGGGGAGCTAAGGACGTGGTGAATTCCATGGCCCAGATGAGCGGGGCACTGGTAGGAAACATACCATTCCACCTGGAATTCCATCTTCCTTGCCCTTTGGAAATGCATCTAGTCATGTGTTTCTTCTGGGTGCTGGGGCCTGATGGCCTTGTAGAGATCAATTCATTCATTCCTCGAGTATCTAGTGAATACTTACTATGGGTCAGTGACCATTCAGGGAACTGGCATAGAAAAATGGAAAACGAGACAAAGTCTTAGCCATTATCGACTTTATATTCCAGTAGTCAATATACAAGAGAGGAATAAATAAGAATTTCACGTAGTGGATAGGAAATAAACTGGGAGATAAGGTAGAAACTCCCTGGGGTAACGTATCCAAAATAATGTGGCTGTTGAAGCCTGCTCTAAAGAGGTAACATTTGGACGGAGACCAGAAGGAGAGAAGGAGGGAGCTAAGTGAACACCTAGGGCCGTGTTCCATCAGTATGGGTTCCATAAAACCTGAATTACTGGGTCATGAAATAAGAGTAGAGTAAGCTGGAACAGAATGGAAAATATGAACGTGTATTAACTTAATTATAAATTATAAACGTATGTTTATTAGGTCATAATACACGAAGTATTTCTTACTGTGCATTGAAGTTAAAAAAAATCGAATGTTTATGTAGAGGAAGAGGTTTTCAGGTAGAAGGAGCACCAGGTGCAAAGGTTGCATGGTAAGAAAGAGGGTTGGGGTTTTGGAGGACAGCAAGAAGCCCAGAGTGGCTGGAACACAGTGCGATTGGTATGAGTTGGGAGGAGCTAAGGTGGGATGGGCGGGCAGGCCATACCCGGTCTTGTGGACCATGGTGGAAGCCATAGGAAGGCACTGAAGTGGCTGCGAGAACGTCTGATTTAGGCTTTAGGAAAGGTGTTTTGGCTGCTGGGTAGAGACTGGATTAGAAGGAGAGGGGTAGAGAATGAAAGCAGGGTGAGGAGTTAGGAGAGGAGTGTAGCTACCGGAGATGACGTGGTTGGCTTAGGGTCGGAGCAGGGATTGAAGCCCATCTGTTCTGACATCCATGGTGATGATAAGTACCAATATGCACAGAGCACGTCCTGGTTTTCAAAGTGTTCGTGTCCTTTAGCTCATTTTCTCTTTGGAATAGCTCTCCTCAGAGGAAGGGCAGATACTATCATCTCCGTCCTCCAGGTATGGTAAAGAAAGACCCAGAGAGAGGGCAAGTGACTTGAGCCGGCCTCCCCAGCTAGAAAATGATAGAACTGCAATTCCCAGCCCAGGCGTTTGCTCTGCCACTGACTCTCTGACTGATACTGGGCTCTGCTGTTTTTCTCAGAGGACTTTCCTTTTGGCTCCTTCCTACTGCCTAACTGCAGGAGGCACTTTGCAGATGTTCAGAATGACGCCCTTTTCAGTTTCAGCCTCTGTCTCAGTCAGCAAGCCCTACCAGGGAGGATGTGTGAGGGCTGCGGGGGCGTCAGGGAGGTAGATGCATGGTGTAAGTTGCAGGATTTGCTTTACAGAGGAATGAGATGGGCCTTCGCTGGCAGGAGCCCAGGCGAAATGTGTGTCTGCCCTGTGGTCTTGGAGAGGGGGGGCGCAGCACTTGCTGAAACCCTGCGTCCAAATAAACAGTAGTCAGTACTCAGGTATCAACTTCCCCTTCAGGCTTAGCCCTGCATTTTGGTTTTATTCAGCAGTTACTCAGCAGGCTGACTTCTGTGTTTTAACTTGTGAGTTGCCCTGGGAGGAAGTTGCTAGCAGATTTGAATGAATTCCTTCATCCTGTTTCATAGCATCATGCTCTTTATCAGAGTTTGTACTTTTCTATTTATTTGCATGCTTATTTGATTAACATCTCTTTTCCTGACTATGCTGTGAGTTCCATGAAGGAAGTCCCTTTTTGCTCATAATACTTGAATGAATGGAATGAATCATTTGCCAAGTCCTTAAGATGTCAAGGTAGCAATACCATATTTGATGTAATGGAAGGGCAGGTCTGTCCTAAGTTCCTCTTCAGGAGCCTTGACAAAGGAACCCTGGAAGACATAGTCCTTCAGGGGCTTTGTCCGTCTTTGTAAAGTTGTTATAGAATGGTTTCTGACTCCTTCGTTTCTAAAGAAAACAAGTGTTTTGTTTCCTATTAGTAGGATATTACTTTTTATTAAAAATTTACTTTTTTTTTTTGGTCAATGAAATGTGCTTTCAATGTAATTATCTGCTTTGAAAGAATGAATTGACACAGCCACATTGTGGAAAGGTTGAGCGCATTCTAGTGATAGTGGAAGTCCTGACCAGCCTAGCAGTTTGCTGCTCCATAGCATTTTCTCCCCTGGGTTCTGGAACCGAGATCAGTGCTTTAATTGTCCCCTGGAAAGGCCACACATCTGCACAGAGGGAGAAGTGAGGTTCCCAGGGAACAGTGTAATTACTCTGCTTGGAATAAACTGACAGTTCTCCCTGGACACCAAGAAAGCATTTGGGACTCATGAAAATGTCCTTTTCTGAGGCTCCCTGCCCTCTGACAGTTGATTTGTTCATTAGGAAGGATGGATCGGAGATGGCCCTGCAGGTTTCCTTTTTCTCTGTAGCTGGAGCTCGGGTCTGCCCCAGTGTGTGGGAGGCAGCACTGCCCAGTGGCTTAAGGACAACCAGGGGTCTTGGAGGCACACGGACCAGGACAGAAGTCCCGGCTCGGCCCGGTCCCAGCTGCGTCATGTTCCTTAATGCCAGCAGACTTCATTTCCTCCTATAAATTAGAGGGGAAGATAATATCTTCTTTCTAGGAATTTAATGAGGGTGAATAACTAAAATTAATGAGGTTTGAATAAGGTAACGTGTGTACAGCTATGGGCACAGAGCCTGGCACACAGTTAAGTGCTCAGCCGACCATTATCGTTACTCTTTATTTCTGTTTCATGCTCTTTGATTTGTTTTTTAAAACCATCTTCAGAGATTGTTTTTTTCCCCAGCCTGCTTGCTAGAATGCTCTTCTAGGTCCGTGCCTTGATTTTTCTCTGGAATTCCCTCTTGTTTGTAGGCAGACAGCCAAGTGGACCTGGTCCGGCAGCATTTCTACGAAGTGTCCCTGGAGTATGTCTTCAAGGTGCAGGAAGTCCAAGAGAGAAAGATGTTTGAGTTCGTGGAGCCTGTAAGTAGATGCTGTCTTGAATGGGGTACCCACACTTTCACCCCCCCCCTCCCCCCTCACACCAGCTACCTAGATGACATGATGCTCTGTGTGGTTGATGAACAGGTTGACTAGCCCTGATGCTGTGCCTTCTGCCGAAGAACAGGGCTTTGTCATTCTGCTTCCCTGGCTTTTCTCCTATAGCCGTTCCTGTACAACCCCAGACAGCGCAGTCAGCAGTGGTTGCTTCCTCTAGCCACCCTGTGTTGTCCTATTTGGTTTGCAGATGGAAGGAAAGGAGGGGAGGAGTTTTCATCTTGCCAATCAGTCGTGATTCTACCTTAACTTTTCTGCCGTCTTCCTCTTTCCCTCAGATAATCCAAATGTGGTAGTAACCCAAAGAAATCGGGAAATATAGATAACACCTTTCTCTTTTTGCCTCCTGAGTTCAGAGTCCCCCTCACCCCGTCCGTGCATTAAAAGATGCCATATAAAATGATTTCTCACTATAGGTTTGTAACAACCAAGCAGTGTGGAGAGTCTGCTGAGTGGGCCGTGATTGGATTTGGCCGTGGGCAGAGTGTCCCCGTGGGAATGAAAGGTCGTAGTGTGGGAACAAGCCTGGCTTTAGCCCAGGCGTGGTTGTGGTTTCATGCACACGAGGTGCTGCCCTGCCCCGCTGTGGCACTGCCTTCAAAATCTGCAGCAGGGAGACCTCGTGGAAATACCAGAGAGCACATAGGCCTCAGTCTAATGCTCTTGTAGGCCTTGCATTTTTCAGCCAAAATGCAGCCTCTGATTTAGACCCAGGCCCAGGGTCTCTACACAAATAAGACTCTTATCTGCCTAGATTATAAGACAGTGATTTTCTTAAAAATAAGAATAAAACTACAAGAGACTGAAAGGAAGTGACCACTCTTTTTTAGTAAAGAGTGTGTTCTGTGCCCCATTTTTAATTTATGAACTTTTGGGATGCTTTTTAGACATGTAGACTTGCTAATAGTTTCATCAGGAGTCCATTTGGCTTTGGAATTTGATGCTTATCTTATCCGAAAACTGTGATCTTAGAATTCCACCCTTAGCCACTTTATCTGGAAGTATTTTAGAAGTCCTTAATTACCTCAGTCTTCTCATCTGAATATTGGAAACTTTAGAGCCAACTTCCTGTCTGGCAGTGTTTCTGACACAGTAGGGTCTGTGAGGTGGGGGAAGCCATCTGTCTGAGACAGCAAGCTTGTTGATTTCCCTTCTCAGGACACAAGGTGTGTTAAACCTCCAGCCTTTTGGAGGTTTACTGAAGACTTTCCTGTGGTCAGGGCAAGAATTCAAATGCTGTCACAGAATTAGCCTTTGGCATTTTTACTTGCTTTTGTTAGAATTCCTAGTGGAAAAAAAACAAACAAAAAACAGTGTGATTCTAATAATTCTTCTGTTACATGTAATAATATATGTTGGTTGATATTACTCTATAATTGCCTAATTTGGATGAGTTCCATTTCTACATTTTTTTTTTTTAAAAGATTTTTGTTGGGGAATTGGGGGGATGGGAACAGTGCTAGGGAATTGGGGGAAGGGGAACAGACAAGTTGCTGTCATTTTTGTTCTTCAATCTAGTTGTGGAGGACGTTGCTTCACTGGCCCAAGTTGGCACCATCATTGCGCTTTTCCCGGGCAAGGCAGATCAGTCGCCGGCTTCTGGACGGCCGCTCACTGCGGCTGCTGGCCGCTCACGCTGGCTGCTGGCTACACATGGTAGCCCATGGCAACCCACTGCCACAGGGGCTGCAGCCTACGCCGTTGCCGGCGACCCATGGCAACCCAGCTCCAGGTTGAGCCGTTGTTCAGCATCTTAGCTGTGGAGGGCAGTGTCACTGGCCCTCATATGTGGGATCCGAACCGGGGCCCTCTGGCATCCCAAGCGAGTTCTTAACCATCGCGCCACTCGGCCGGCCCCATTTCTACATTTTTGAGCTCAGTTTTTTTTACTGTCCACTTTGATCTCTCAGTCGGTGTTCCTAGTAAATCAGGTAATGTATCTGTTAGCTTCTGTTGGGTAACAAATAACCACAAAACCTCATACAATAGACATTTATTTTTTACATATCTCTGGGGTTCAGCCATTCCAGGCTGGGCTCAGCTGGACGAATCTGTGAATCTGCTGATTAACATGGGCTTTCTTCTCCTCCTCCTTCCTTTCTTCTTCGCCTTTTCTTCTTCTTTTGTCTTTTTTTAAAATAAATCTTCAAAAATTTATTCTTGTATTACCTGGCATTCTCTTGTAGTAGATCAGTGTCTAGAGTTTTTTGAGAGGCAGTATAACATCAATGTTAAGGGCTTTAGAGCCAGACTGCTTAGATTTAAATCCCAGCTCAGCCATTTTCTAGCTGTGTGTTCTTGGGGAAGTCATTTATTTCTTTGAGCCTCAGTTTCCTCATCTGCAAAATGGGTAAATAATACCACCTACCATATAAAATGTTATGAGGATTAAATGAGTTTATTCATGTAAAATGCTTAGAACAGAGCTAACCCAATTAGCACCCATTATTATATATTTATTAGCACCCAGTTAATTGTTTTATTCTGAGAATGTATCAGCTTTAGCTACCTAGGGTCTCCTCAAAGGAGCAAAGGAGTCAGGTGCCAATATTAACAAGGCTCACCTGTTTTAATATAAATAGTCTTGGTAATTCTAAAAGTGTTAATTTACTGAATATCATAGAAAATACTGAAGACCCAGCTGCTGTGTCTGAGGAGCTCACAGCCTCATTCGGAAGCAAGGTGTGTATATTGGTGAGGTAGCCAAGGCAGCAAGTTCAGGGTCAGGTCGGACAGGATCGATGGTATAGAAGGGCCAGAGGGATTTAATGAGTAGAAAACCATTGTGGTTTGCAGGTGTTTCTCAGGTCATACAGTGAAGCACCTGGGGAGCTAATGACAATAATTTCTGATCTCAGGCTAGAATGAAGAGACAGTGACGGGGACTTGCCCAAAGTAAAATGAGAGGCTGGATGTAGGATTCCTATGTTTAACTGTCATTTTTCTACGGAAGTTCTTGTTTCTGAATGCACCAGCCTGTAGGCAGGCAGGTCAGTGGCTCAGGTAGCTGTGATTAGTAAGAGGAGATTTATCAGCGAAAATGCCACTGACTAACTCAGTGGTTCCCAGAGTCTTAGAGATACAAATGCTCAGGCTCTACCCCAGTAACCTGTATTTTAGTAAGCCCTCCGGGTGATTCCACTGCACATTCAAGTCTGAGCGACTGGCCTGGATTGTACAAAAGAACATGAAGTAACAACTGGTATTAGCTGAAACTGTGCCATGTACTGTGCTAATAGGAAGCACTTTATCTACATCGTGTCGTCCAGTCCTTATAATGTCTCGGAAGGTAGGTACTGTTGTTCAGATGAGGAAATGGAAACACATTTATTGATTTCTCCAAGTTCACATCTAGTAATAGCAGAACTAGACTGGTCTGGCTCTTAATCTCTATGAAGCAGCGTTTGATTTTTATGGATGGACAGGAAACCATGATGAAATCTATTGAACTAAATTGCTGAGGCACCTGGGGTAGGTATTCACATTTTGGGTTGGTTGCTGTCAAGGGAATCTTTGGCCATTCAAGGAGCCTCCTTGCCCATTGACTGTGTTATTTATTTCTTAGTAACTTCACGTACTAGGATGTTACTGACCTTCAGAAAAAGAAACAAGATTTTAGGGTTCCAAGGAAGAAAATCAGACTTCCGGGATCTAACCATGTTTTTTTTGTGTGCCCCAGAAACCTTTATTTTCTTGTTGAGGCACTGAACGTCCTGGAGATTTGGAGTGCAGATAATGGCACACTGACAAGTTGCTGTCCTTTTGTTCTTCAGTCTAGTTGTGGAGGATGTTGCTTCACTGGCCCAAGCTGGCACCATCATTGCGCTCTTCCTGGGCAAAGCAGATCAGTCGCCGGCTTCTGGACGGCCGCTCACCGCGGCTGCTGACCGCTCACCCTGGCTGCCGACTACACATGGTAGCTTATGGCAACCCACTGCAGCAGGGTCGTTGCTGGCGACCCATGGCAGCCCAGCTCCAGGTTGAGCTGTTGTTCAGCATCTTAGCTGTGGAGGGCAGTGTCACTGGCCCTCATATGTGGGATCCGAACCGGGGCCCTCTGGCGTTCCAAGCCAGTTCTTAACCAACGTGCCACTCGGCCGGCCCAATGAGTGCTTCTTGATAGCCGTTGTACATTAGTTTGCCAGGGCTGCAGTAACAAAGTCCCACAAAAGTCTTAGAGCAATAAGAATTTATTGCCTCATCGTTGTAAAGGCCAGAAGTCCTAGATCAAGGTGTCGGCTGGGCCACGCATGCACCCTCTGAAGCCTGTCGGGAAATTATCCTTCCTTCCCTCTTCCCACCTTCCCGTGATTTGCTGCAGGGTTCGGCTCTCCTCGCTTTGTAGCCGCATCACCCTGCCCCTCGTCTTCACTTGGCTGCCTTCCCTCTGTGTTTCTCTGTGTCCACATTTCCCCCTTTTATAAGGACACCAGTCATTTTAGGGGAAGACCTAATGGCTTCATTTTAATTTGATTACCTCTGTAAAAACTATTTCTAAATAAAATCACATTCTGAGGTCCTGGGGGTTAGGACTTCAACATATCTTTGGGGAGGGGGTGTAGAATAGGGTGGGGTCAGATTGGGGGGGTAATGACACAATTTAACCCATGACTGTGGCTCTTGTATGAATGAAAACAACCTAAATTTATCCGATAGCCCAGAATGATGCAGCCAGCACTAAGTGAAGCAGTTACATGTTTGCTTATTTAAAAAAAAATAAGTTAGATCTGGGTTGTCAGCTAGAAAATAGGAGTAGTTATTTTGTTGCTGTTGTTTTGTTTTTCAGTTATTCTCTGAGGCGAATGAGGCGAACAAGGATGAGGAAGAAGGCAAAGGGGGGTGGGGAAGGTATTTTTTGGCATCTCCTTGGTGGGTCTATGTTTCTGTGTTGCTGCCTGTTCAGGGAGGAGCCTGGGTGGGGGGTGGGACTTATTTGATAAGCAGGTGAGGCTACCGCAAGCTCTTCCTCTGTGTGTGTGAGTACAAGTGTTTCTCTGAGGCAGACCGGCCTTTCCACCTCTGGAGTCCTTCTGTGGGCCTTGCCCAGCCTTCTGAGGAGCAGACTGTCCTTTCCCACCGGGTAATAGGTTAAAAGGTTCATACAGTTTGTGGGAAGGGGGGTGTCAGGAAGTGGGAGAGGGGAGAAAATGTACTGCGAGGGTAGAAGGAAGGGAAGTAGGCCAAAGATAGCAACGCCTAAGGAATCATTTCCCGCAGAAAAACGGACAGTCATGCATGATAACCAAAGGAAGCGAAAAGCAGAAGAAACATTGGGAAGTCTGCCTTTGGAGCACTTGTGTGTATGCCCAGGTGGCATCTTAGTGATGTGATTGAGACATTTAATGACCGTGAGCAAGGGAGGCCCTGTTGGCTTTAAGTGAAGGGTAAATCAGAGTGACTAGGAGGCATGATTTAGAATTAGCTCTTACCGTCTCATTTTTCTGTTGTGGAGGATGGCTCAGCGCCTCGGGAAAGGGATGGGGTACAGCACACACCAACAGCAGGGAGGGAGGAACTCGAACAGGTCTCGTCGTGAATGCCGACAGTGGGTTTGGCACAAGAGCCCCTTCTCTCCCACTGGAGCCATCCAGAAGGAAAAGTATGGGCCTCCTCAAAAAAGTCTTCATCTTTGAAGACAAGAGCTCATTATTAGCCTTTGGTGACTATGTGAGTTACTACTCACCCATTCATTGATTTAGGTTAGGGATCTGTTGGCGGTGCCATTAGATGTTCTTATAGCCAGAAGACCCAGCAATGCCTGCTCCCCCACCTCCCATGAGGGGATCTGAGGGGATAGATGCTCTGGGGATGGTGGCAGTGGGAAGTCAAGGGGCCACGTTGTTGTAAATTGGGTTTTACTGACTCCCCAGCATAGAACGCTGATAAACTGGTCTGGGCCTGTGGCTTAGCCCAAAGACAGGTCTCCCCCATGAGCTCAGGTAGAGTAAGTAGCACATACCTGGGTGCTTCCCATACCTGCCACAAGCAAGGTGGGAGAGTAGGGGGGTGGGGATGAGTTCCCTTCACCTCATTCTTAGGGCTGCCTCTTAGAAAAGGAGAGTTAGGTGAAAATAAGTGGGACTGTGTTTATTAAGTAAAGGTCTATTCATTTAGGGTCTGAGAAACTAAACACAGCAATATAAAGTAAAGCAAATGCGTCTGATGTCACATGTGGTGGAGGCAGGGCAGGGAGGTCAGAGTGGACCACCCAGAACACGTGAGTTGGCATTGAGAAGTTCAAGTTAGAACAGGGATGGCCCCCAAATGCAGTAGGACTGAGCCTGTGATGGAGGTCAGGTTCTGGTTCTTCTAAACCTTGTTCACTCTTTTGGTATAATCTCTTGTCAGGTAGAGATTTGGAACTGAGGCAAGGTGTGTAGAACTTGGGAAAGGGGCCAGCTTAGCATAACAACAGTGAGCTTTGCATATAGGCTCTGAGAGGAAAGACTGCAGGAACAATTATTTAGCTTGGAGAATGGACGGCTGGCAGGGGCCCAGGGACATTAATAGTTTTTAAGTATATGAAGACATGTTGTAAGAATTTTGGTGAACAGATGTTTTCACTCTTCACTAAAGACAAGACTAAACAATGAATGGGCTTACTTTTAGCCCGAGGCAATTTAAATGAGAATTTCAGAAACCATCATAACTGAAAATGTGGCAACATGGGAGGATTTTAATAAAGGAATCCATAGTGTTTACTTGCAGATAATTTAGGGAAAGCACAGCAACACACTTGAGCTGATGTCTGACCAGGAGGATTTTCTTTGATTTCACTTTGCCTGTGAGGCTGCGGACTCAGAACACACCGGCTTCCTTTCCTCCCTTGCTTGTTGGTTGTCAACATAACCACACCCTTCTGCACGACAACCTGATATTACAAGTGTACTGGAAGGAGACCGAGTTGGAGTCCTGGTCTTCAATATCTGAGAAAATGATTTTCTTAGGAGTTGGTGAGGATCACAGGGTAAGAGCTTGGGTGTCGGTGTCAAGGAGACCTGGTTTGAAATCCTGGCTGCCACCAACTGTGTGTGTTGGGGCAATGCCACCTACTGTGTGTTTTGGGGCAAGTTACTTGACCTCTCTGAACCTGTTTTCTTATTATTAAAATGGAGATAACAGTAGTGCTTACCTCATAGGTGGTCGTGAGTATTCAGTGAGATAGGGCACATAAAGTTACAGTGCCTGGCATACAAATGGTGCTCAGTAAGTGTTAGCCATTAAAACTTTCAAATCATGTTTGGGAACGCAGATATAGCTATGCTTACCTCTTTACCTGGCTTATGTGAACCCTGCCTTTCTATCTCCATTACAGCTCCTGGCATTCTTGCAAGGACTCTTCACTTTTTATCACCATGGTTATGAACTGGCCAAGGATTTCAGTGACTTCAAGACGCAGCTGACCATTAGCATACAGAACGTGAGTGGGCAAAGGCACCGACTTCCTTTCCCTGGTTAAGGAAAGGAAGAAACAAACTGTGGCTCTGGGTTTTGGCATGCCCGTGAGGAGGAGGAGCCTTGCTTGGGTTCAAAGGGCAGCTGGGGGCAGGCATTTCTAGGGTGCTTGCTGGCCCCAGCTTAGGACATCATCTTCTTCACCATTATTTCAAAGCACTATTTATGTTTTCGGAAGCGCCGCTGCTGATTATGTTTTAAATCCGTAGCACCAGTGTCAGGATTTCCTCTGGCAGTGGAAGCCCCACCCGCCCCCACCCAGCCCCCCTTCTGTGCATCTAGCTGCCTGGCCACACAAGACCCTGGAGTGCATGTGCAGGGGGTGAGGGTGGGGCACACACGCTGACCTCCAGCTCAAAGGATGTGCTCTTGTTCAACTCTCCGTAAGGCTGACAGGAAATCCGCGTTGGTGTGGTTTACTCCCAATCTCCTCTCCCAAATCTTAAACAGCAGGACCGTTAGGTGCTCAGAATCCTGTCTAGGGCCCTTTGTTAGCAGTGAGTAGGGCTCAGGCTCCCTTGTCAGTGTGACTAGGCTGTATCAGTCTGCATGTTGTCTTTGTCCCGGGATGATCCTGTGTAGAAAGGAAACCCAGTGCATCTGGGTGGGTTGTATCGCATGGCTTCTAGAAGCCTGCCGTTTGCCTCCACATGCTTCTCTGTGTCTTCTGAGAGAACAGGAAGTTGCAGAGTCTCGGAAAAGGTTTCACAAAGCATGGCTTCCCCTTTGGCTGGCCTCCCCAGAAGACTGACTCTAAAGTGGAGATTTACACGTAGCAGGTTTAGCAGGAGCAATGTTGGCAGAAACACCTGTGAGAGAGTGAGGCCCGTGCAGAAGTTGAGCTGTGATGCAGTTGCCACAGAGGTCTCAGTCAATGCCATGGGCCCCCGGGAGCAGAGATGTCTATGAGAGTGGCCAGAATAGAAGCAGAGGGGCCAGGCTTTAGGCCCTGTCCCCTTTTGTCCCTAGACTAGTCATTAGGTGGGTGCAGGCTGTCCCAGGGAAGGGAGTACCCTCAGTGAAGCAGCTCCCTTTGGAGGAGGGAACCATCTGAGCCATCAGTAAGCAGCGTTCCCTGCTGCTGGAGAAATGAGTCTTTGGGTTCTGAGGGGGAGCTGGGTGGTGTACCCTCCCATGAACCATCTGACTCAGACTCACCTGGAATGCTTGTGTCAAATGCACATTTCTGGGCCCAGAGGTACTCAGTTCATCTTTTGGGCTGAGGCCTGTGCCTTTGCATTTTCTCCAAGTTCCTCAGGTGATTTTGATGGTCCCTAGATTTTGAGAGACATTCTGAGATAGGACGTTAGGTCAAGATATACTCCTTGACTATTTGCCTAGTTCTTAGATGGCTGACATTGGCATTAAATTATCTGATTTTAGATCTAAGGATTCTATTGGTTGATGTTCTGAATTGTTGAAGGTGGGAATAGGGTTTTATTTCTGTGATTTGAATAAAATTCCTTTCATCCTAGACAAGAAATCGCTTTGAAGGCACCAGGTCAGAAGTGGAATCACTGATGAAAAAGATGAAGGAGAACCCCCTTGAACACAAGACCATCAGTCCCTACACCATGGAAGGGTACCTCTACGTGCAGGAGAAACGTGAGTGCCCGGGGTCACCGATAGCTTGGGGATGCCTTTTGTCCGGAAGGTGGAGGGTGTATCCAGTAGTGCCTGACCTAGAGTTGTGTTTTGTAAGCACAGGTTTCGATGAGTGAGAGTAAATTTATAGTTTAGTTTTCCAACGGAAAGGTGACATCCATAATCTTGTCTACCACCAAGGGACACAATTCTGTTTTCTTTGTAACTAGGAATTCCCTTGGGAACCTGGAATGCATTGAGGCTCTTTTCTCCCTCGTGTCACTCTACTCCTGAGGTGCCGGTACCCTCAGTTTAGCTTTAAATATGGTACCCTTGGCATAGAGGCCTTGGAAAGATCTTGCATGCTACACCTAATTGTCAATGAGCAGTCATTTTCTTTGGTGGACTTTGTATTTAGTGACTTTGTTTTTATTTGAGACTTGTTTCAGCAAGGCCCAAACAATCATGACTTAGGCCCTTCCCTTCTTCTCCTCAACTCTGGTCATCCCAACACATAAAGTTTATGAAAAGTAGAAACGAAAGCTCACTCCCAGAGCCAGGGAAAACATTCATTGTTCTGTTGGTATGCTGTCAAGGAAAGCAGTGCCAGGTGCTGGTGACCCGGATTTTTCAGTGATGACTCAAATTCATGCACGAGGCCTGGGAAAGGCTGTGTGATGGGGCCGTGCTATTAGGGTAGCACTCCCAGACTTAATTCACACTTGCCATGCTAACGAGACAAGGAAGTCAGTTTTTCCTTATAATAGATGGCTCTTCTAGCCTCGCATTCCTGCTTTTTTGCTGAACTCATTTCTCCTCCAGGATTTTTGCTGGTTTTATGCTCTTTCATGTCCTTCTGTTGATTTCGGGTTAGGCAAATGTCTTCACTCCTGGAAGCTTCCCAATGGAACAGAATCCTCTTGGTTTCAGTGGTTATTCTATATAGTGATTTTTCAAAAATTTGCTTGGGCTTAAAATCATTCCCTGGTGATAATGGGGGCATTAGTGGGTTCGAGGTTGAAGCATCAGTTGTGATGAGGATTTTACATTTCTCATTCTTGCAGGGATGAGCTTGTTGAGGTTTGTAAGAAACAGAAGCTACTTCTGTTCTGTGTTTCATATATACCTGATATTAGGTGATGCCTTCTTTGCTCAATGAGAAGATCTACCCCAAAAAGTTTAAGGCCAACTTGAAAATATAAATTTTTAGGGATGTAAAAATATAGTTCAATGTCGGCTTATAATAATTTATTACTATTGTTCTTACATACATAAAATCAGTATTGCTTTTTTGCACTCACATTACATTATACAGTTTTATTCAAATGTTTCATGTGCTCTTTCAACGTTAATGTCTTGATTGTCATTAGAACCATGTTTTGATTCTCTGACACAGTAGTCCAAGCATTGGGATACAGCTTTTTTTTGTTTGAAAGTTCTTGTAACTTGTTATTTTGGAAATAATCTTAAACTTACAGGAGGTTGCAAGGATACTAACAGAACAACCACATGACCTTTACCCCAATGCACTAATTTTTATTTTTCCACAATTGCGTCATTCTTTCTCTGTGTGGGTGTGTGTTTATGCACAATGCACATCACAGTCACAGATACATGCACAATCTTAATTTTTTCTGAACCATTTGAGAACAGGTTGCATGCACCAGGCTCCTTTACTTCACTGTGTATTTTCTAAAAATAAGGACATCCTTTTATGTAACTATAGTACCATATCCAGGAAATCTAATGTTGATAAGATATTTAACCTAAATGACATTTCATACCACAGTTTTGTAAGTTGTCCCAGTAATACCCTTACAGAGCATTTTGTTTTCCTCCAGTGCAGGATGTCATACCGCATTTAGTTGTCATGACTTTAATCTCCTTTATCTGCAACACTTCTTCCGCCTTTCTTTGCCTCTCATGACACTGACAGTTTTGAAGAATATAGGGCAGTTCTTTTATATATTTTCCTTCAGTGTGGGTTCGTCTAATGTTTCCTCAAGATTAGATTCAGGGTAAGCATCCTTAGTCAAATCCTATACAAGTAACATTGTTTTCTCCTCTGGGTACCACATCTGGGGCACAAGATGGCCCTCTGTCCCTCAGTGGTGATGCTAATTTTGATTACCCAGTCAAGATATTTTCTGGTTTATCCTCTGTATAGTCACTATTCCCCCTCTGCAACTAATTAGCAGTCTGTGGGGTGACACCTTGAGACCACATACATATCCTTCTTGTCATTGAACTTTGCCCCCCGTAGACCAGCATCCATTGACAGTCCTGCCTGAACTGATCTTTACTATGATGGTTGCATGATGGCTGCAAAATGGTGATTTCTCATCTCTGCCCATCTCCACATTTATTAGTTGCTGTTTAGTGTGCTGTAAGGGAGTGACCTCCCTTCTCTTCCTCCCTTCCTACCTCCCTCCCTTCTTACATCCATCCATCCCATCCTATCCATCCATCCATCCATCCATCCATCCATCCATCCATCCATCCATCCATCTCATTCATCCATCCATCCATCCATCCATCCATCCATCCATCCATCCATCCATCCATCTATCCATCCTATCCATCCATCCCATCCATCCCATCCATCCCATCCATCCATCCATCCATCCATCCATCCATCCATCCATCCATTCATCCATCCCATCCTTCCATCCATCCATCCATCCTATCCTTCCATCCATCCATCCATTCATCCTTCCATCCTTCCTTCTATTATCAGTTTTGACATATAGATTCCCATTTTAGTCATATGGTAAATTTATTACTGTCCTTATTTGTTTTAGTGCTCAAATTGTCCAAAATACAGCACTTTTGGAATCTTTGTGTTGTGCTACCACTGGAATTTTTTCTCTAACTTACAAAAATACATTGGAATGGTTGGTATTTTCATTTGTCTTTAATGTTCTAATGTAGACACTGTATTGCTTTTTAAGTATACTGACTGACATCCAACACTTCCAGTGGGCAGGCAATACCCTGAAAAATAATTATTAAATGTTTGCTAAATCTCTTTTCGTGTTATCCTTTTTCTCCATTTTTGCTTTGTGATCTCTGTAAGCATCCAAGACTAGTATTGACTGAGGTCCTTTTAGGCTAATGGTGCCAATGATGCCTTCTTCCTCCAATAGTACTTCGTTGTTCAAAATAAATAATTGGCTGAGCACTGGGTAACTTTGTCATCATTTGACTGCGGGGCATCTTCCTTTTTCCTAAGGGATAATTTTGAGTCACAAACTCAGATTACATTTGGACATTTACAGTTACTTCCATTCTACATGGTGTCTCTGTGTCTCTGAGTTCCCTTGTCTGTTTTTCAGATCTTCTTGAGTTCTGCCAAAAGTGAAAATTAGGGGCTTGGAAGTAGGTCAGAGTCCTTGTGTGTCAGTGCACATAGTCACAGAGCAGCCGTGTGGGAAGCATGAAGTCATCGCAGCAGCTGGAAATGGTGACAAGCGCTTTGAGGAGCCTTTCTATGCTCTTTCCTCAGCCGTCTTACTCCAGTCAGGGTAGAGAAAGGAAACTTCACATGGAGATTGATGATGGGAAAGTAAATTCATTTCCCCAGGGAACCTCTGCTTCCCTTACATTTTAAGACCCGTTGGGTGTAGCATTTAGTGGGAAGCGGTCTTCCTTGGTCCCTGGGGAAAGCCCTGAATCAGTTCCATTTCCAGCCTGTGGGAATCAGATTTCCGCCTGTTCCAGTCTAGCTGGTGTGGAGAATATATTGCCCCTAGAAACAGTTTAAGGGTAGGTGAGCATTGTGGGTTGCGGGTTGTGTGTTTTTGCGGCATGCAGTGGACATATGGAGACGTTTCATGGGAAGTATTACCTTGCAGGTCACTTTGGAACTTCGTGGGTGAAGCACTACTGTACATATCAGCGGGATTCCAAACAAATCACCATGGTACCATTTGACCAAAAGTCAGGAGGAAAGGGGGTGAGTTCATTTTTTAAATTTCATGCTCGATTTGTTTGGCTAACGAATACTAATTATAACGCATGTATAAAGTAACACTTCCAGTGTTTCGCTGTAATTTTTAAAATTTTTATATAGTAGTTCCAGAAGGCATAGTACCCTAAAAGGTAACTAAAACATGATGATTATTCTTAGCTCTAAATTATATGAAGAATCACAACTAAGAAAGATTCTTGTATTTCACATATGTGCAATAGTAAGTGTGTCAAATGTAATTAGATGCTGCGAATTCTTGAATGACCTCATCCTTTGAAATTGATGCATGTCACTCTCGCTTGGTACCTACAGGGCTGCCAGTTGGCAGTTTTGATGTTCCAGTTATCTACTGCTGTGTAACAGATCACCCCAAAACTTAGCAACTTTTAAAACAAAACCAATCATTTTAGTATTTCTCATAGTTTCTGGAGGTTGGCGAGCATTTGGATGGGTGGTTTGGGCTCAGGGTTTCTCATGCGTCTCTAATCAGATGGTGACTATCGCTGGAACAGTGAGGGCCTAAGGCTGGTCAGCCATAGCTGTCTTCCTTCCTCATCGCCTCCTCTCCCCTTCTCTTCCCTCTTTCTCTGTATAATCTTAGGGCCTGCCTGTCTGGTCTCTCCCTGTGGGCTAGTTTGGGCTTCCTCACAGCATGGTGGCCTCAGCAGGGCAGCTAATGGTTTCAAGAGTGAATATTCCAGCAACGAAAGCAGACACTGCATTGCCTTTTAATGATCTGGACTTAGAAGTCATATCATGTTACTTTTGTCCTATCTGTTCGTTGAAACAGTCACAAAAGCCCACCCAGTTTAAAGGGGGAGAGGATGCGGATCCTGTCTCCGTGGGAGAAGTATCAAGGTCACGTTGTATGAAGAGTGTGGGAAGGAAGATATTCTTGTGGTCCTCTTTGGAAGAGTCAGCTGGGCTGGATCAGGCTTTGGGGTCACAGCTATTGGGAGTTCTTGCTGTGCTCCGAGGGTTCTCCTTTCCCTTGGTCCCGTGCACTGCAGCCTGAGTGCATTTCCTTTTTAGGTGATCTTTCTTTTCTCTCTGGCTGCTTTTCATATCTCCCTCCCTCCCTCTCTTCCTTACTCCCTCCCTCCTTTCTTTCCTTTCTTCCTTCCTCCCTCTGTCCCTCCCTCCTTCCTTCCTTCCCTTCCTCCCTTCTTTCCTTCCTTCTAAATTTTGTTATGATGGTCCTATGTGTACATTTTTCCCCCCAATCTGTTGTGCTTGGGAATTTTGGGCCTTTCTGGGTTTGAGGATTGGTGTCTTTCAGTAACTTTGGAAAATGCCCACTGATTATCACTTAGAATTTCCTCCCCATTATTTCTATATCTCCTGGAGATATTTAAATATTTTCAGTAAAAATATATTTTCATCTCTTTGAATCTCTGGACTCCATTCTGGATAATGTCTCTGTTTGTATCTTTAGTTTAGGTAATTTTTCAGCTGTGCCTAATCTGTTGGTAAATTAGTTCTCTGTAAGTATTCCGATCCTGGTCCTCTGTGGTGCATTTTTGTGTGTCTGTGGGGTTTGTGCGTATATGGGCATTACAGAGTAGAGGCTAGAGCCCTGGCTTTGGACTCAGACTGCCTGAGTCAGTCATGTTAGATGCTGTGACACTGCTGTTCGCTGCTCCCCCGTGCAGCCCCCTCGCTCTCTACCACTTCCTGGCTTTTGTCTACTTGGGGCACAACACAGGAGTTTATCAGCATCTCTATTCCTTCCCTGTATCAAAGCCAAAATGCCAAAATCTTTTTAATGTTTCCTATCAGGGCTGAGGTTGACTTATGAATAATCTCAGGAAAACAGACATGAAAACCAAAACATACAGAAATTACAGTTAGAAGGAGTATTAAAAATCGATGTTAGTAGGTATCCCCTGGTATTCATGAAATGGAAATAGAGTTAGATCTGCCTTCCTTGGGGTGAGTCACAGTCCCTTTGCAACTCTTAGCCCTTCTAGAAATCAGCCTCACTGAATTATTCTCTTAAACAGTCTTTGTTTTGGGGCTTTTGATCTTGTGCTTTCCTACACCTTTAATGAAGAACTCTCTTGTATTTTCGTCACTTCTTTCATACCACACTTGAAAGTAAAGAGTTGAGACCAATGAGGGGCGGATTATTTGGGACTCCCCAGACTTTAGTGAGATAATAGTAAACACCTCATTGAGTTAAGAGGTTTATATGAATCAGCATATAGTATAAACTTCGTGGGACAGAACCTGACACATAATGAGCACTGTATTAGGAGCTTGATATTATAATAATCAATTTTCCTAGTAATTTGTTTTTATATTACATCTTATATTTTTCTTGGTCCTTTTATTGTCCTATGTTACCCTGTTTTATCCAGTTTTCCTCTTTGATAAAAAAGGAAATGGAGATTCAGGGAGAGAAAATGATGTCTGAGGTCATCCAACTAATGAGCTATAGAGCCAGCAGTCAAACCCCGATTCTGGAGTCACAGCTCCTGAGTCTGAGGCCTGTAGCAATCCTGATATATAATTTTTTATGTATCATTATGTAATATGTAAATTAATCTATATTTTTGCATTAATAATAATATATAACACCTATAAATAGCCTTCCATGGCATGACCCTGTTCCCTCAGCTTTAGGATGGAGGAAGTATGAACACTGGCTGTCTAGAGGTGTTACCTTTTCAATTTAGAAAGGCTCTCCTAGGAGCCTAAGGCAGACTTAACATAGATAATAGGGTATATTTTCTTTTCAGCATGCTCCACTCTTTCTCTCCCTTCACTGTCCCTTTCATTTGGATTATGTTCCTTTAAAAATGCCTGCTTTTCTCTTAGCTTCAGGCCAGGAGATGTGACAGATTTGCTCCATCGTCGTGGAGACCAGACCCTGTGCAGTGAGAGACTTCCCTTCATCCTACCTCCTGAAACAGAGGCACCTCTCTGCAGGAGGTCTGGAGCAGCTTAAAGCTGGCCCTGACCTTTCCCGCTGCTCTCAGGACACAGACCAGTCTGCATGACCTGGCCCCTGCCTCCCTCAAACCCTTTTTCATTCCACTTTCCCTAATGCTCTGGGATTCCAGCCACACTAGCTTTTCTTCTGCTCCTTCCAGGCCTGATGGACCCTGACCACAGGGCATTTCCACCTGCCCTTTCCCATCCTGATCCTGTTCTGCTCTTATCTCTCATGACTCCTTCAAGCCCTAGCCCAAGAAAGCCTTTGCTGACCTTCCTGATTAGGTCAAGTCCCCTTAATTTAGGCTTTTGTAACACTGTCTGCCTTTTTTTCTATCACAGCTTGTCACAGTTATGGCATTTCATTTAATTAAGTGATTATTGTCTGCATCCCTACCCCCCTGACCCCCCCGTTTTTAAACCATCAGTAATTGAACAGATCATCTTTATAGATTTTTCCTGATACGGTGTAGTCTTCCTTGAAACAGGATCTTGTTTTTTCTGCTTATATTTGGCAATCTTTTATAGATCCTCTGTTCCTTCCCATTTCTTAGGGACACCTCCTCGTAAGCTTTCAAAGGAGAAGCTGGTCCGTGGCCATTCAATTTGAAATGCAGTTAGATATTCAGGTGGTCAGAATCCCATGTGTCTGGGCATGTGCACGCACACATTGACACATTGCATAAGGAGCAGTTCTCAATCTGAGAACTTCATCTCAGCCATTCAGTAAAAGACAATAGATGTAAGGAAGTGGATGTAAACTGTTTCTTCCTGGGTCTTCTGTGTTTCGTGTGCTATTCTGATGTTAGTGTGTGATTAAGTTTTACTGCAGTCACATTTCCTATTATTTCAACAAACCCTATAGACAAGTTTGCTAATTCTCCCCATCGTGTAGAAAAAAAAACAAGATTGGAGAAGCAGGAGAAGCAGGAACCTTAAATTCCTACGTGACAGAAAGAGAAGACATCGGGGACAGAAACTTCCGTTTCTAGGCAGTAAATTAGTGCTATGTGATAATGCTGTTGCATTCCATTTGTACAATGGAATAATGCTAACAATAAAAAGAAACAAACTCTTGATTCACACAACAATGTGGATGAATCACAAAACAATTATGCTGAGTGAAAGAAGTCAGGCATCAAGGGGCATTCCATTTATATAAAATTAAAGAATATGCAAACTCGTGTAGAGTGACAGAAAGCCGATTCAGTGTTTGCCTGGGGATGGGCTGGGTGGAGGGATGGATTATAAAGGGACAGCAGGAAACTTTGAGGGTGATGGAAATGTTCATTAATTTGAGTGTGGTGATTATTTCATGGATGTATACAAATGAGAACACTCATAAATTGTCCACTTTAAACATATGCAGTTTATTACACATTAGTTATACCTCAATAAACCTGTTAAAACATTTATTGAGCACTTACTCTGTTCCAGGGCCTGTTTGGGCTCTGGGGACACACGGGTAAGCAAAAACAGACATAGTCTCTGTCCTCAAGGAGCTCACAGCCTAATGAGGAGAGAGGCATTATTCGAATCATTGCTCCTATCAACGGAAAATTTCAGCTGTGATCAGTGCTGTGAGGAAGGGAGAGGTAGATGGTGCTATGTGAACATGTCTGGGGGTATTTGAATTTGATCTGGTCCAAGAAGGTTTTCCTGAGAAGGAATGACTGAACCAAGATCATAGAAGCTCTGAGTTGGTAGGGGACCTCAAGGTCATCTTTTTTTGACTTGTATCAAACCTACAAATTAAACCCACAAAAAGGTCAGACAATTAAGTATGCGAACTTTTGACCGTGTAAAGCGCATGGTGGAAAGTTTGCGAACTTAATTGTCCGACCAGCTTATTTAAAACAATAGCAACAGGAGTTTAATCTAGTGTGTGTTGATGCTGTATCATCATGATCTACCACTACTGAAGACGTGGCTCCAAGTAGAACATGGCTGACCACTTTTAGCTGCATGAGGCTCTTGCCTGAGAAGGTTTATGATCAGCCTTGCACCTCCTGTGGTCATGAACAATTAGGTTTGAGAAGATGAAATGATCACTTGTGTTCATGCGGCATGTTTGTCCTGGAGAGGAGCAGAACCCGTATTCTGGCCTCATCTTGACAGTCTGTGTGTTCCCAACAGGGAGAAGATGAGTCAGTCACCCTCAAATCCTGCACACGGAGGAAAACAGACTCTATCGAGAAGAGGTTTTGCTTTGATGTAGAAGCGGTAGACAGGTGAGTAACTAGCACTCTTTTCTCAGGAACAAATACTAGTCAATTTGCATTTCTTATCTTTTCCATTCAGTCAGAACTTTCTGGTTTCCCCAGCTCTTTCCCTTCTCCAGTCCTCTACTGATATTCAATTGGGAAGAGACCTCAGGCCCTTTGCTGATTTGCAGGTATCAGCCTAGCTTCCCCCTCTTTTCGGTTCAGCACTGAGCCACTGCTTGGGTGGTTATATTTTGTGTGAGGGCTTCTCTTACCAGGAATGTATTTTATGTCTCAGGAGGTCGTGTATCTATTTGACGAAAACGGACTAGTTTGCCTGACTGGATCGGCTATTTCAGATTTTTTTACTTTAAAAAATGTTTAATTTTTAAAATATAATAAAGTGATTCAAAAGGAGTTGCTTAAAGGGAAGGGTGGAAGATGTTCTACTCAATTAAAAAAGAGATAGCTTTTAGTTATAGAATTTCACCCACCACAGTGTATGCTGCCCAGGAAAGACAGCAAATCACTTGCGAAATCAGTCTTTGGAGAGAGAGAGCTGTGTGTTGTATTTCACAAGACCTATAGTCCCATTACGTTGTACCGTATCATGGTGTTAAGCTAGTTTGACAACATTGCAATTCTTTGAGACACTTTACTTGGCAACAGATTAATTCTTTCAATGAAGGCCACGGGTTTAGCTTATTTGAGCTGCCTGTTCCAGGTCAGCAACGCCAGCACAAAGGTCCTTGACTCTCAGCACGATTGTCATCTAATTCCATTTAATTTCTCCCCGTTACTAAACAAAAAAACCACACCATTTTTTCAAGCCAGTACTTCTACCCTCCCTGGGACACTTACCTGTAGTCACTCAGCCATAGCTCTAGAGAATCCAGTGGCCAAGAGCTGCCTGGGGTGTCGGCAGGCCAGGAATTTCGACTTGTGCCATGATGTCTCCCTGCGCTGCAGCTGTTGGGGGCTGCTAGGGCTCCCATGGAGAGAGCCTGCCCTTTGCACCTAAATCAGAAGTTCATGGAAACCAACTGTGTCTCTTTAGCAGTCCAGTCATTACACCTTGGGCAACCTGGATCTAAATTTTGATTTTGCTACTTAGTGGCCATGTGACTTTGGGCAAGGTACTTAATCTCTCAGGGCCTTGATTTTATTATCTGGAAAATGAAGATGGGAATAGTACCTAGTTCAGTTCCTAGAATTGTCAGGATTCAAGAGGATAATGCGTATAAAATGCTTGGCAGAATATGCTCAACAAGTATTAGCTGTTATTATTTATTGTTAATTAGCTTCTCCTGTATGTTTATCAGACTTAATATTTCCTAAGACTAGACTCTAAATGCAGAGAAGTAAATATAATTTGTAAAGAAAAGAAAGTACCCCAATCTTTCAGCGTATTTGGGGCCATGAGAGGGAAGGTAATGGAGAAGGGTCGTATGGAGGGGTAGGTTGAATTAGAGTAGCCACTGGGAATTGAAAAATGTATGCCTCAAACTAAATTGGTTATTCTTGATTTGAAACAAATCCTAAATCAGGATGCCTTAAGCACTTGTAGGCATCTCTCTTCTCTGTACAAAGGATGAAATTTATGGGAATTCATATTGTTGGCCTCCATGAGAGGTTAAGAAGATGCGTGTGTTGGAAGCGGAGCCAGTTGTTTGATGCGGCCCAAATGTACGGTTTGTGGAGATGACCACCTGTTCGCGTGGCTGTTTGGAAGAGGGCATGCCTTGCACTGCAGCTCTCCATTAGATTGGAAGCAAGCTCAATGATGCTTTCTGAAGCTGAGTGTTTTTTCTGTGTTTGCTCCTTCAGAAGTTTCCCCAGAAGTTGTAGAGGGTTGCTTTTTTAGGTAATTAAAACTCACCATGGTCCCTCCATCTCATTTCCACCCTCGCCGACACTTCCTACTGCCTTCCCCCTTTACTGTGCTCATAAAAGCTTTGCATGTCTCAATCCTAAACCGAGAGTCAGTGTGTCACATTCAACATACTGAGCGGGCTTGGGAAGTCGATTTCTTCTGAGTTGCTGTCCCTGCTTCCCTTGGCATGACCCGGGGGGTTTCGGTTGTCGTATAGAATGAGGCTGCTAAATTTCCTCTCAATAAGCAGGAAGTGAGTCAGTAGTTCTGTTATAGTATTTGTATTTTCTATATATTGGGTTGTTGGAAAAGTCATGATGTAGTTTTTCTGTTTTTCGTTGCAAAAATGCGTCATGACTTTTCCGACAACCCAGTAGTGTGATGTTTTGACATCTTAAAACCCTTCCTGGCTGGGGAGAGACTGCCCCTTCCAGGGCTGGCTGATTCTAATAGCAGAGGGCTCAGCCTGGAGCAAACAGCCAAGAGCCATACCTCTCCATCTGCCCCAACAGCCCAGGAGGCAGTATTCCTCTGCCTTAATCATCCAGGGCCAGGTACCAGGAGCCGAGGGCCCACCCCTGCAGCTCAGCACCCCATGAAATTATTCAAGCTAGCAATCCTCAGCTGTTGACCCCACCCTGCCATGCCTTCCCTGTAACGAAGCCCATGGCCTAGGCTCTCTCGCCTCCTGCCACTCCTCCCTGCTGGCTGCTGCTGCTTCTCTCCCACGTGGTCCTGTGTGTGTGTGCCGTGTATCCTCTTTCTAGCACCTGCAATTAGGAGAAACTTTGTTTGCCTGAGCCTTTGTGTGTCTCCTCTTATGGCCGCGCCGAACTGACCATGACCTAAAAGGACACAGCATCTGTGAAGCACCTTCTCCCAGTTTTCTATATAGGTCATCATCTTTGGCCTCAAAGATTAGGTTGCGGTTTGGCAGTATGTTCCTTATGTTTCTTCTGCTTTGACTCCAGTTTCAGTGCATTTTCCTCACACATCCAGGAAGGGACCAAGGAGAGAAGGAAAGGCAGTTCCCTGTGCTTGATGTCACGTCCGTGGGGACTCTGCCCAGAGCCCTGTTCTCTGCAGGACTCCGACCCCTGCTTTCTCACCAGTGCAGGTTAGCGGGAGGTGAAGCTGCTGGCTGTCCTGATGTGTTTTCAGCTCACGCCTTCCACAGATTTCTCAGCTTTACCTGCTGGGCTAGAGAGACGGGGGGCAGAACGCAAGTTTAGCACCTGGGAAATGTGGAAGTAAACGCGGAAATGGTTATGTTTAAGGGCATAAGGTTTCAGAATGCTCCCAGAGTGTGTTAACTGTAGAATATATAAATGTTTATGTGGTGGCTATTACTGTGGAGTCTGTCAAGATATAAATACATGCTAAAGCGTGATTTATTTGACTTAGAATATGTGATGTTGTGGGTTCTTGAGGTTGAGTACTTTTATCCTTCAGGCCCGGTGCTGACATTTCATGTCATTTTGTAACAGAAAATGTAGTCTTTAGGAAGTGATATTGTAGGAGGTCGACACTGTGAGTTGATCACATCAGCGTCTCTTACTGTGTGATGAGAACCACCTGCACTCAGCGTCTGCTGGGGGTGATTGTTAGAACAACAGCTTCTTGGTCCCTGCTCCAGACCTGCACAGTCCCGCTCTCTGAGAGAGACCCAGGAGCCCACTTTTAGAATGAGATCTTCAGATATCCTTTATTCTTAAGTCATAATTGCTACATTAAATGCCATGCATATCACCATACAGTTTTCTCAGAGCACATAAAAACGTTTTCCTTATTAAAAACATTATAAGCAACAACATCAAAACAAAGAAACTCAGGCTCCTTTCCTAAGGAGCATAATTCTTACCCATGTGGAGGAGAATATAGCTGATAGAAAAGGTGATTTCCAGTCTGATATAGATTACCAGGAAAAGAACCCACCATCACCCCCACAATGAAACTCACGTTTTAGTTAAAGATGAAGGCATGGGTAGGGAACTAGCAGTAAGAGAGCACTTTCTGGAAGTCGAATGCTGTTCATACATTATCTCCTACAATCCTCACTACAGCCCTGGGAGGCATGGGCTCCACTTACCCCACGTTACTGATGAGGAGTCTGCCGTTTAGAGGGGTTGAGTCTTACCCACACTCAGGTGCGATTTGAACTGAGGTTCGTAGGAGCTCATTCCAGGGCACGTTGCTGCCTGAAAACTCAGGATATTTTAGAGGCGTTTTCCAGTGGTGAGCCCAGTGCTTTCAGGACTTGCATTTCAGAGACACCGCTGGGCATCCAGCTTGTAGGCTGTGAATCTGAGACGTGCTTTCTCACTATAATCATTTGCATTTGGTATAAACTAATGGTGGGTGAACTAAAGCTGCAAACTTGCTGTATTCTCTTATGTGGACCACTCTGACCTTTGAGAAAGTCCTCATGTGACTAACAATTTAGAGAGGCGATACAGAGAGCACCCAGGCCAGGCACGTGGCGTGGGAGGTGTTCCATGAAGTCTGCCTTCATGAAGTGCTAGTGCCATTTGTCAGTTGATGGTTTTCATTGTATCCCAGCATATTGCTGTCAATGCTAATCCTCAAGTCCCGATGAAAAGGGGTTAATCCCTGACATTTCCGTCATCTGTGGAACACTGTTAGGATTCTTTGAGCCCTGAGTGAGCTGGAAATCAAATTGAGTGTTAATTCAGAGCTTTGGGATTTAGATCCATAGTTTTTGAACTCTGTGTATTAAAGATCCTCTTTAATACTATATGTGTTTCAGAAATCTACTTTTAATTCTTATATCTAAATTCCTTTACCTGTGATATCTTAAAACTAGGCCTGTACTCCCTTCTCTGTGCCCTGCACCCGTCTATATTGACTCCCACATAATTACATAACTTCAGCTCATCTATCCCTGTTTGTCTAGTGCCTGTCTCTTTTTCTTCTTGTTCAGTTTTGGGAGCGGTTCAGACCCGAGACACTGCTGAAGACCCCTGGACTATTCAGAATAAATGTTTCACAGGCTTATATTTGTTCTTCATGTCTTTGGCTTGCCTTCAAAAGGGTTTTTTTTAAAATTGTTCCTGAGGTTGAAAAGTTAAACTTAGTAGACATTCTTGTGTCTTTCTTCAATTCCAAAGTGCACAATGGCTTAGATCAAGGTATC